TGCTTTTATTAAGCCCATCCAAACGGGCCGTTAGTAGTCACATGAAACTATATTCATCATTATTGGAGATTAACTATGCCAACTTAGACCATACGCAAAATCCTTTCCCTAATTGTTAAAATGGAAGTATATTCTTTGTTTCAATATATTTGTCCCGAATCACTTTAGCATAAAATTTAATAAAATAATTATTTTAATATGATGATCTTAAATTTAAGATATGTTAAAATGTTTTTTAGTTTTGTGGTTTTAAATTTGTCACGTGCTCACATGAAAATCTTAAATTAAAGAATTATCAAAATAATAAGAAAAAAAGAACATTTTTATTTAAACAAGCTAAAAAGGAAAGTATAACAAACAAAAAAAAACAGGCGAAATAAATTGATCAACGAGTTTTTTTTTTAATTAATCACCAATTCCTTCGCCCCATGCACACTCTAAATTTCACTGATTTTAAGGGCATCACTAATGTTAAGGGTAAATAAAAGACGATATTAGTAATTCTAAATAGTTCATGATCAAATTTGGAACTTTTTCCCTTTAAAATTTTTGCATCAATCACATTTCAGTTCACATCTATCAGAATTGAAACCCCACAATTGTTCCTAGGACAGTACATTTGTTAAAATATTCTATGTCAAAAACTCTTACAGAGCAATGAATTAAAACTATGAAGAAATTGAAAAATTATTGAATATAATTTTGAGAATTATTCTTTATGTAGGAAAGGCACATGCTTTCTACCACAAATTGTTGTTGAATGGATTGATACTGCCACATTATTATATTCCATCATCTTCCTGTAATTTTGTCTCTACAATAATTTCCAACAACAGTGGGGAATGATCAATTATTTTGATAAGGGGTTAAAAAAAAATATACAAAAATAACAAGCTTGGTATTTGATTTTTTTTTAATATGAGTATATATAGGTAATATTTTTACATATGCAATCATATCTCCCAATATAATATCTATCTTCTATAATATCATTTCACTTGCAACAATCCATTTCTCCCCCTTTTCTTATTGAACCTCTTTTTCATGTTATGTTGTATCAGAGTTGGAAGTTTATAGGGTAGAAAAATTTAATAAAAATTTTGGAAGGGCATGATAATTATTTTTTTTAATCACAAGGGCAAAATCATTACTGTCGTAGTAATTTTATTTTCACACCATTATTATCGTTAATTAAAAAATCACTAACTCATGAGCAATTTTCTCCAAAACATTTTTTTTTTAAGAATATGTGCAGCGATTTTGGCCAAAAAATTATCATTAAAAAGTAAAAGAATGGCTGCCAAGGCAGCGATTTTGGTGAAAACATTTTTTTTTAATATATAAAGTGGTGATTTTTATTAAAATAAGGGAAAAGAGTCAAATATGCCCCTAAACTATTTGAAAAGGTCTAGATATACCCTCCGTTTAAAGTTTGGTTCACTCATGCCCTCGCCGTCCAACTTTTGGTCCAAATATGCCCTTATGGGCGTTAGTTGTCATGTTGGACATATCCAACTCATTTTTTATTTCTTTAAATGCCACATGCAATTGTCATGTCATTTTGACCTTACCACATAACATTTATATGAAAATGGAAAGATATTCGGACTCATAAACACCTAATCCGACCCATAAATCAACTCCTTACAAATTCACTATCCGACCCATTTTTAATAATTTTGTTTAATTTTTATTATTGCGGTAAATCCCGAAAATGAGTAATTGATTAATAAAAAATAGAAAAAATATGAAAAAAATATAAAATTAACGCCCAAAAATTCACAAATAAATATAGTAACCTTAAATCTAACATTTCAATTTCTTTAAAAAAAATTATTTTTCGATAAATCTCGAAAATGAGTAATTGATTAATAAAAATTATGAAAAGTATGAAAAAATTATAAATTAATGCCAAAAGTTCACAAATAAATATAGTAACATTTCAATCTACAATTTTATTAAATTTTTTATATTTTTCGACAAATCCCGAAAATGAGCAATTTTTTAATAAAAAGGGAAAAATATGAAAACAAAATAAAAAATATACGTCAAAATTCACAAATAAATATAGTAAACTTGAATTCAATAATTTCAATAATTTTTTTTTATTTTATATTTTTTTCATAGTTTCCTACTTTTTATTTCTGAATTTTTTGCGTAATTTTTATATTTTTTCATATTTTTTGTTAATAAACTCATTTTTGGGATTTGTCAAAAAAATTAAAAATTAAAAAAAATATTAAAATTGTTGAATTTAAGGTTACT